AGATAGTTTATAGATTTGTTATCTTCACAGTTATCTTCACAGTCATCTTTATATTTTCTACTTTTTGATGCTGTTTTATTTCTATTTTGAGATGTTTACATTTAGAATTGTTTATTTAAACTCTTTTAATGTATAATGATGTGCAATGCCTTGTTTTTTATGCTGCTGTAACGCAAACGAATCCATTTGGGATAAATAAAGTAAATCTTATCTTATACTTAAAGGATGTGGAAGTGCAATGAGAACATATATAAACCGGATGTTGTTATTATCCTATTAGAACAGAAACACTTCTACATGGGGGTTAAGACGTAAATGCATACAGTGTCCTGTCTCTAAAGCAGTTCATTATTCCCAAAGTAAGCACTTTAAAACACAACACAGCGAACATGTGTTATTATAACACTGGATGTAACGTTTATTGTTATGTTAGCTGATACGTTAACATTAAATAGAGCTTAGCTAGCTGCGGCTAATGTTAGCGAACAAGGTGACTGGTCTTCTGTTCATTCAGAGTAACGTGAGTCAGTAGTAATAAAAGGATACTGTCCCAGTCTGAGGTTGTCGCAGCTATCCACTTCCTCCGCCAGAACGAGCTTTAAATGAGAGTAAACAGAGTAAAATATGAGGCTCCAAACCCCGGAGCGAAAACACACCAGCCGTCTCCAGGAGGACGCCATGTCTAATTATGTTACGTCACACAATGACGCTTTCGGGACGTTTAGAAGTATAGTAATTTTGGAACTTTTAGTGCAAATTATTTTTTCGCTTTAACAGCAAAGCAAATTCGCGTCATGGCATTCAAATCTAATTCATTATTTTAGAGCAATAGTTATTTAATATGTTTTCCAACAACTTAGTCAACTTTGCAAAAGAGTGTAATATGTATATATATATATATATATATATACATATTCAGCTGTGATCATTGCACCTGGGAAAAGACCAAGGGGTAGACCTAGGACCAGGTGGAGGGATTATATCTCTTCGCTGGCCTGGAAGCGCCTTGGGATCCCCCAGTCAGAGCTGGTTGATGTGGCCAGGGAAAAGAAAGTTTGGGGCTCTCTGCTGGAACTGCTACCTCCGCGACCCGAACGAGGATAAGCGGGAGAAGATGGATGGATGGATGGATGGATCATTGCACCTTTGTCATTGACCTTTTTTTGTTTGGTTTCTATGATTCTCAACTATTTTTAAGTGTTTATGTTTTGGAAGGTGTATATTCTTGTGTTTGCAACTTATATTAATGAAAACTGACATGAACCTGTTTATAAGGTGACAACATTGTACGTTGTTTATTTTATCCCTAATGATGATTTGTATTGGTTGTATTTTGTTAATTGCATATATTTGCGCCTTTAATTAGCAATCGCTGCAAAAATGTTTTCGATAAGAAGTAAAAGGTAGCAATATATGCAAATACTCCAGCAATGTATAAGGACATCAAAACGTACAGTACACTAATTTTAAGTGTACTTAAAATAACTTCATATATTATGAACAAAAGGATATTATTAGAGCAAATATCGCATGAAGCAAAAACAAAAAATGTGTAACATATGTAAAGCAAATAATATGGACATGAACACATCATTATGCCTCACACTGTCTTCCCAAAGGGAGGTGTTAGGTGGGGCGTTCGGTTGTTAAATGATGCTAATAACATCCACCATTATTCTACTTGCGCTAAACATGCACTGGACAAATACTTCCGATAGCACCTGAACGCAGCATTAAAGCAACACTGATGCCAAACTGGATTCACTTCATGTGAGTTTTTACATCAGTTCAAAACCCCTTTAAAACCTGTCTGTTTTCTAAGAATTCCTCACGGACTTTCAGCTCTATCCTCCGACTATTTATCTGCTCTAAATTATTCAAAACTATTTTTTAGACGCCATTTACCAAGCTAACTTAGCATGCTAACGTGTAGCCAGCTGTTAGCTGTGTGCTGTAAATGAACACGCTGGAAGATAAATAGTTGGTTGCTGTTTAATCTCAGTTTAGGTTTATAAACACACGGATAAGTAAAGTTTGGTCTTGTCGCAAATCAGAACACGTTTGTTGTAAGAAGTAGCGGCTGCTTTAAAGGTTGTTTATTTTGTTTAATAATGTTTGATGCACCTGTTGCGAATTGAACCTGCTGACAACAGATTTACTTCAAGATTTTAAGCTGTCGGTCGTCTTTAGGATATTAGAATGTACACAATATGGATTTGATGAAGTATTTATATTGATTAGTTCAAACTTATGGTTTCAATATTCACCATCCTCCCTTTTGAGTTGTTTGAGTTTCACTTCCTGGTTTCTCAGGTGAGGTTACAGGTGTGAGGAGGTTTCGTGTCAGCAGGTCAGTTTCTGTTTGATGTGCAGGTTGGAGAATGTTGGTCTGGTTGTTTTACCATCTGTGTGTGTGGATTCTGCTTTGCTCTGACTGTGTAAACAAGCCGTGCTGATAACGAGGATTTTAACCTGAGAAACCTGAGACAGGCACCTGAACGCAGCACACAGCAGCTTGTTCCACTAGCAGCCTGTCAGTGCTGGAATCCGCTGTGAGCACATGAGGAAGGTACACTACAAAAAGCACTCAGATTCTTTATTTTAGTAACTGTACAAATACTCAATTTTAAGTAAAAGTACTGAATTGAGAATGGTACGGTAAGTAAAAGTATTTAAGTGTGATTAGGAGAATGTACCTAAAGTGTTCAGAGTTAAAGTGTTTATTGCATAAAAAACTGCAAAACATTTAAATATTTTTTAAATATGTTATAGCAAAAGCAGCACTTTAAGCATTTAGGCAGCATTTAAGAAGTTCGATGGGAAATATGTTAAGGATGGGGTTTGGCTGCTGTTGACTGCCAGACTCCATAAGCACAATGCATCCAAATGAAAGAAGCTCACTCATGATTTGGTTGCACAGATGTTTAAATGTTAGCTCCTGTAGATTCCTTTCTCCACCATTTTCCCTCAAGCAATATAGTCAGATGTTTATAGTTGGTCTTGGCTGTAAATTCTTAAATAATGACTTTATATTTTCCTGCAGTCATCTTTCAAACAGCTTCTTGTTAGGATAAATAGGGAAAGTGTATTTTGACACACATTTGAAATACAATTCAAAGTGTTTTTCACCATGCAATAAAAAAAAACAGCTTAAAACAATCAAATGCTAATTAAACTAAACCATTCAGTAAAGCCCTGTGGTAAAGTTGTATTTGTATTAGTCTCCTAATTTTTAACGTGCCAAGAAAAAAGTATAATGTTCATTTTGACAGCACTTATTCCCCGAGAACAACAAAGTCACATTGAACTCTTTCTTTGTTGAACACCAACACTGTTTCCAGTCAGGAAAAATAAAGTGTTTTTCTGCTTTGAAGTTTTTTTTCTTTGGTTGTGACACGACTGAAGCTTTAAAACAGAAAATGCACTATTAACTGGTAGACTTATACACACACTGTCTGTTATGTGTTGTGTTTGAAATAAATGTGAAATATTGTTGTCTGCCTCTCTTTTCAGATTGGTCCAGAACAACAGACAGACAAAGAGGGAGGGAGGACAATGTTTGAAAATGTCCCAGCGGGTAAATCCTCTCACCTGTTTAACATTTCAAACAGCCATCAGTTGGAATTGCATTCTCTTTGTGTAGTTACTGCTGTCTAATGAATGCGTCCTGTGTTCAGCATCCTCAGCGGAGCGGCAGCAGGTTCTGGGAGCTCTGGAGCGACTGCAGGCCAAACTGCTGCAGAGGGAGGAGTGGACCCACAGTGAAACCATGGGCAACCTGAGGGAGACCCTGCAGAGTCCCCTCTTCAGCCACATCCTCACCCTACAGCACTCCATCAAACAGCTCCGCAGCCAGGTGACACACAAAGAGCAACCTGCAGCTCACACCCCAGCTACACTGCTTAAAACACGTCTGAGATACACTGGAGCTACGCGCCACACATTCACCTCAGCCTGTCGCAGATGGAGGCAGGTCACAATCCTCCCGAAGAGTTCAGGGCCGTAATGCTATAGTTATAGGAAGAGTCTAAATTAAGATATTTACCAATACTAACTAGCTTTAGGCATCCTGTCTTCATCCATCTTAAACTTGGGTTTTCAAATCCTAAATCCAACATCACTTATCAACTTTTCTTTCTGTTACACAGCAACTGGAAGTACTTTCGAACCAAAACCAATTTGTCTTATTGAAACGTACAAAAAAATTGTTTAAAACATACTGACATACCAGAAAAAGGAGCCTCATTAGTAGACAAACCCAAAGACGTTCTTCTTAAGAAGCTGTAGCCTGACATTCTGCTTTTAATCCCTCACGTCATCTGACAGAATGGAGATATGCGAAGTGGGACAGTCAAATAAAGCATCCAAAGCTTTAGAATACTGTCCCAGACACTAAACAAGAGAGTAATCACAATACAAATGACCAACACAACTACAATGGGAGATAATTCATGTATCATATAGAAACATTTCCAAGATAAAATATGTGTAACTCTAAATAAATACCCTAAAAACAAAATGATGCAACGGAAACCACTAAATTCTCCTTAACTTGGAATAAGGTCAGTCTATTGTTGAGCATGTTGACTACATTATACATGAAACAGGCATTGTGAAAGATATTCTATTCAGTCAGCTTCAGGAGGCTGACTAGGGAAGGCAACGCACTATATCACATGACAATAGTTTATACAGTATGAAAGGAAAAGGAATTCAGTCTCTCAGTATTCTGATTGTTTGACAGAACTGTGAGTCGCTTACTCATTTAGATCATTTTGCTGACTAATACATATTTTCGATTAGGCCGACATGTGTATCTCCGCCCAGGTGTCCACAGCCTATCAGGTGTCAGCACACTGCTGCCTCCTGTCCAACAGCGTGACCTGTCAGTGGGGCAGAGGGGGGACATTGAATCACCCCCCCCCCCCTCTGCCCCCTCATCTGTATGCAGCTCCAGCCCGTACTGACGCCGAGCCTTTACAATAAACAATCTGCAGGCCAAATTAAGATAATGGCAATAACCGTCGCCAGGCTTCATATTCTAAGTGCTGCGAAGGTCAGAGCTGAGTCTATGAAAATGTTGGGTGGAAGCCGGTGGAGGGTATATGAAGCGGGGACTTCTCTCTCTCTTTCTTTATTTATTTTCCTACCCCTCCCCACGGCTCTCTGCGGATCTATCAAGCTTTAATATCTAGTGTCTTGGTTTGAGTAACGGCCTTGTCGAGGCGTATTGATGAAATGGCTGTGGATCCTGCTCCGTCAGCCCCGGCCTAAATAAGCTGCAGACTGATAAGTTTCCACAATGTGAGTGTAAAGGTCATTAATACATTACCTGTTCAGAGAGAGAGGGCCTGCAGAGGAATCTATTGATTTTCTTTTTTCCTCTCTACTCCCCACTTACCCCCAGGCTTCGCTGCTTCATTTTTTTAACTACATGTCTTTCTTTTCTGTCGACAATGTCGTTGCATATAGAGCGTGTCTCTCTCTCCTGTGTCTTTATGAGTTGAGGTTGTTTAGGTGGTAAAACCTGAGGTCCTGCTCTGTCTATACTTTTTTTTACCTCTAGTGGTTCAAATAAATAAAGTGATGCATTGGGGATTTTTTAGGTCAAAAATAATAATGATAAGGGGTGGGAAAGAGCCGGTCCAAGGAGGAAATGTTCCCTAAAAATACATCTGAATTTTAGAGATTAGATTGCTACATTCACAAAAAAATGCTATAATCTCTGGGATTAAAGTGGTACATTTCCACTAAATATTTTTATAATATATTTTCGTAAATTATCAAATCTTAAACTTGGGAGACATTTCTGAAAAATAAATAAGATGATATTGATATTTTGTGTTTTTTATTTAAGAAGAAAAATATATACGTAGATGAGATTAATTATCCTTCATTGACCATTGATCATTCTTGTTTTACCTACAAAAGGACTGATAATATGTTGATTGAATCAAATGTTTCTATAATTATGCTACAGTTAATGAGTCTTCGAATTTTTTACTTTTTCAATGCCTGTACTTTACTCTAACATGTATATTTAAAATGCAATATGTACGTGCAGTGGCGCCGTAAAGGGGTGAAAAGTTAGGATGGTTCTAAGGGCCCGTGACTGACAGGGGCCCAAACAATTTTAGAACTTTAAGAAAAAAAATGTTTAAGTAACCAATGTGATATCTTTTCATCGGGCCCAAAATCCCTGGCGGCGCCCCTGTTTACACTCTGTACGTGTGTAAACACAAGCAGCTGAACAAAAATTGTCCAAATAAATACCGTCTGAAACTGGGAAGTGAGGTGTTAACTTGCACAGTGACCAGGGGCCTCATTTATAACGCCTTGCGTAGGATTCACGTGGGAAGGTTTCTTACGTAGTACAAAGCAAAAAAATAGGTACAGAAATGTTCCGACATTTTCCGATTCACAAAACATTGCGTACCGGCGAGGAAAGTGCGTACGGCACTTCCTACGCCTGTTTCCCTTTATATAAATCACAATCAACTCGAAATGCGGTGCAGCTTTTGCGGGCTTCACGTAACGCCCATATTTGCCTATAAATAGTCAAAGAAACGCCCATTCATTCATTTTGACTGACGGCATGAAGAAGATCCCAGGAAATGACGACAGAACAGCTAAAAAAGACATCTCACACCGTGTCAGATTTTGGTTATTTTGGGGAGGTCGAGATAAATCATATTGTTTGGTGGATGCAGTTTGAACCAGAGTAGCAGCATGGAGATCGGATCGCCACCAAAATAAATAAATAAGTGGTCCGAAAAAGGTTAATGACAACAAATATATAGCCTTCCTCAGGCAGTGTGTTTGTACCGGGGACAGGAGACACCCCCTTGATGAGAAACTGTAAGAAATGATCGGGGAATCCCTCCGGAGTGGAGTCATGACGACTGGATCTGAATGATTTTTTTGTATTTGGTGGTTTGTGTCCCAGCTGGCGATTAGCTGTGCGCAGCGTCTCCACTGCAGCAACTCTATATCCACCAGTTAAAGGAAATACAACTAATGTGTTGTGTTATATTAGCTGTACAATTGACCACATATGGTGCTCTTAGTTTCCATACCTCCTGTGTTTTACAAGCGACTTATCAAATAGGCTATTGGCGAACGGCATAAAACATGATTAAACATGATAGTATATAAAACCATGCTCGTACAACCTATAGAAAAGCAAAACGGCGTCAGTTTAGACGTAATTCTGTCCTCCTGCTTACCGCATCATTTATGAGAAAACATTTCAAAACATTAACACATATTCGAGGTGGTTTTAAATAACATATCCGTATTTATTTATTTCTCCCAGTTATTTTTTTGTGTGCACTGAGGAGTCTCAAACAGGCGTTTGTTTAATCATTTTAAGATTGGCTTTGATCAATGTTTGAAAAATGAATTCTTCATATATGATAAATGAGAGGTAACATTTTATTTATGGTATTATTTCCACATATTTCTCTCCATTCTTCCTTCTGCCAACGGTGTCGCAGTTTCTCGTCTCTCCCGTTTTTGTGCTTAGTGCGTACGCATGGGTTAGAGTTTGTGTGGAGGACCGCACGTTTTCCCGTCAAGTTAGTATTTTATAAATCGCAAACATTGCGTAGACACTGGCGTACGCCATTTTTGGAGCTTATATCCCTTTATAAATGAGGCCCCTGGTTTCTGAACTCCATGTAGCAGATCCTGGTTTGTGGGACCCTGAGAAACCCGAGCATGATAGTGAGCCAGTACACTGTGCTGTTGGTCCGCTGGTGTTTAATGCACGGTGTGTCAGTCAGAGAGCTTCACCGAACACAGCTCCAGAGCTCCAACATGTTCCCTCATCTGACAAACCTCACTTTCTTTTTCTCCTCCCCCTGTGCTCCTCTTTCTGTCACCCTTTTTCTGCTTCTTCTTTTTTCTCCTATTCCTGCTTCTCCCCTTTCTCTTCCTTTTCATTATCCCCTTCCTTTTTCTCTTCTTTCTGTTCCACGTTCACGTCTTCTACTTATTTTCTTTAATCTCCTCATCCCTCATCTCCACTTTCAAACTACTTCCTTCTTGTGCTCTGATTTTTTTTAAATGTCCCAACCTCCTCTGCTTCTTTATCTCTTCTTCCTACTTCTCTTTTTTATTGTTTCCTCCCCTCCTCCTTGTCCCGCACTCCTCCTCCTGTTTTTCTCCTCTTCTCCTCCTCCTCCTCTCCTTTTCTCTCACCTCTTTGTCCTCCCTCTCCTCTTCCACGTTGTAGCTGAGCAGTATGCCACCTGAAGCCTGCAGTGAGTTCAGTTTCTCCAAAAAGGGTCAGCTGATCATGAGCGCTGTTGATCCAGTCAGCAGCTCCTCCTCCCTAGTGAGCACTGCCTTGTCTCCACCCATCCGTCAGACTCCGCCCTCATCTGAATTCAACCTACAGAAATGGATCCTTGTTGCCGCAAAGGTGGGTGAAGCCAAAAAAGACGCCTGCAACAACCAATGAGATTCTTCCATTGGATTTTGGATAATTGTAGAACAAATGTTCATGTTGATTACACATTTTGTCACAGCAGGACAAATACATATATTAACACCACATTTTATGAGTTTTGAAGTAACAAGTGTTAGGCTATAAACAAACTACATCTGATGGATGTGCATCTACCATAGCTAGTTAAAGAGGCTATAAACAAACTACATCTGATGGGTGTGCATCTACCATAGCTAGTTAAAGTGGCTAATAAGTGACGTATTTCATGTATTTTTCAAAAACGTGAACATCTCTTAAGCTTGTATTAACCACAGATCTTATTCCAGGCATCTAACCATCGAGGGGAGGGAACCCGAAGTGCTGGGTTCAGGGTTTTAAGACTCATTCCTGCACTTCTCTTTATAAAAAAACTTTAAATAAATGTGTGTGTGTTTGTGTGTATTTGTGTGTGTTTGTGCAGGGCCTTCATATAGAGGTGTGCCAGCTCACTCGGCCTCTGTCTGGAGGTCTGGGCTTCAGCGTGGTCGGTCTGAATCCTGCAGGAAGCAGCAGTCAGGGCGTATTCGTCAAACATATCCAGCATGGAGGCATCGCACACAGGTTCAGCCTACAGCTTTAACTTTCCTACAGTTAACATCAAGTCATACTTAATGAAACCTTCTGGTGTTTTTCCATCTTCCGTTTATTTCCAATCTTACAGACTTCATGTCAATGGAGCTCAGAATCAAGTACCTTTATTCAACCTACAGTAGGCAAATTGACAGTTTTACAACAAAGATAGATAGTTCAGATAAAAGCCAACATTAAATATTACACCAACCACATCCAGGATAGAAAAGATAACTAGTAAGTGAACATATAAAGAAGTGAAGGAGCAGCCAGTAATAACAGAAGTAAATAATGGTCTATTTTACATTATATTATTTTACAACAATGTTGTGCTTTTGCTGAACAGCTAAGATACTGATCCCTCAGAGGAGTGCAGTCCTAGGAACAGCTAAGATACTGAACCCTCAGAAGAGTGCAGTCCTAGGAACAGCTAAGATACTGATCCCTCAGAGGAGTGCAGTCCTAGGAACAGCTAAGATACTGAACCCTCAGAAGAGTGCAGTCCTAGGAACAGCTAAGATACTGAACCCTCAGAAGAGTGCAGTCCTAGGAACAGCTAGGATACTGAACCCTCAGAAGAGCTCAGTCCTAGGAACAGCTAAGATACAGTACTGAACTCTCAGAAGAGTGCAGTCCTAGGAACAGCTAAGATACTGAACCCTCAGAAGAGCTCAGTCCTAGGAACAGCTAAGATACTGAACCCTCAGAGGAGCTCAGTCCTAGGAACAGCTAATATACTGAACCCTCAGAAGAGTGCAGTCCTAGGAACAGCTAAGATACTGAACCCTCAGAAGAGTGCAGTCCTAGGAACAGCTAGGATACTGAACCCTCAGAAGAGCTCAGTCCTAGTAACAGCTAAGATACTGAACCCTCAGAAGAGCTCAGTCCTAGGAACAGCTAGGATACTGAACCCTCAGAAGAGCTCAGTCCTAGGAACAG